CTGCAAGGGAAGCAGCCTGGAGTGGAGTGGAGTGGAGCAGCTCCCCAGCCTCTCCTTGTTTCCAGCTCTCACACACCTCAACAGGAAGAGAGAAACAGAGAGAGAGAGAATGAGAGAGAGCGCACAGCCTGTCCCCCACTGACTACAGGAGAAAGTGAGCCCAGGATTTTCTGTATCCTGGAGCAATGTACTCCGTGCAGCACAAGAGTTCCTGGGGCTTGCTTTCTCCTGCAGCCCAGTTTAAACTGGACTGCAGGAGAAAGTGAGCCACTTGCTGATGGCACTGGAAACCGGAGGCCACAGAAGGACCCCCGTCCTCCCCCTACCTCCATTCTTGCCCAGTTCCCCTCCCCTCCCCAACCTCCATCCTCCCCACTAACTGGCAGCCAGGCACATTCTCATCCCAGGTCTCCTACCTCCCCTGCTTGGACTTGCAGGATGGCTGGGTGGGTGCAGCCCTGGTAGCCCCCCTGTAGTCTACACCTATGAGGACAAATAGAAGGTATATTTTGGATGTGAGAATTTGGTAAGCACAACCTTTCAAGATGAAAGAACATTTTTTTAAACTGCCACAACACAATAATTTTACACTAAATACTTCTAACTCTTTAACCACTCACCCTGTAGATTGTTTCCTTCCAAATTTTAAACACATGTAACAAATTAACTTGAATTTATGGTAAGTACAATTCTTACACATTATTATGGTACAAGGTTTGAGAAACAAATAGTAGTCTTATATAGACTTTGCATGCAGACAGTCCTATTTTCAGTCCCTGGCATCTTTTATGTAAGTATATCAGTAATGGATGCAGGAAATACCTTTATCTGCTTCAAGTCCTGCCAGCCAGAGTCAACAATACAGAGCTCAGTATTTGGCCGGGCCTGATCTCCCAAACACATCTATTGTGACGGCTTATGCCTAACTGCTCTGGATCACAGTACTTTTAATAGTTTTAGAAGCCAATAAGAGCACCTGACCTGGGCATACCTATACGTGTTAAAATACTGCTTACAACCCTAGATATCTAATTTTCCCACCCTTTTTTCAATAGAATCTCCCATATTTCTTCAGTGTGATGAGTTTTGTTGAAAAATTGATGGGGGGGGGGAGAGCACCACATGGGGAGATACCAGAAGGTTGCTTCAGCCTGGACGTATATTTGCATTATAATGCTGAAGAGCAAAGGACTGCTACAGTTGGCACAGGTGAAAAATCTTTTCTCCCCTGCAATAAGAGTAAACAGTGAATAGTACTAATTGAGTGAGCAAGTGAAATGCTTCATCATGCAGGATGAAACACCCAAAAGTGTACACACACACACACTTTTGGGTTTTTCGTCCCGTATGATGAAGTATTATACATGTTATGTTGTCGAAGGCTTTCATGGCCAGAGTTCATTAGTTGTAGATTTTCTGGGCTGTATGGCCGTGGTCTTGGTATTGTAGGACCTGATGTTTCACCAGCAGCTGTGACTGGCATCCTCAGAGGTATAACACAGAAAGATCGAGTACTCTCTGTGTCAATGTGAGAAGAAAAATTGTAGGCAGGTAATTTATATCTACTCAGGAAGGTGGGGTAGATAATGAGTCAGCCCTACAACAACTAATATTATACATGTTGTTTTCTGTTTCTTTCATGGATTTTTCTCAATAGGCCACCAGACCTAGAAATCAACTATGTATCAGCACAAGATATTTGTCCAAGGTAATCTGCCAATTATATGAACTATCTCTCTAGATAATAAATTGTATAATCAAAAGAGGCTAGTTTCTACTACTTCAGATTAGCTGTTGATGTGTAGAGGTTTAAACACTTAACTCATGGCAGCTTGCTTTCCTATAGATTTATTGAGCTGCTTCTCAGAGTGTCACCTTGTTTTTCTGCAAAACAGAGTCATGGATAATTTAACTTCTTTGAATTTCGTTTCTAAATTATACAGGGAGAATGCTGCTTCTGTACATTGAAACTCTCCCCATTGTTCTTCGGCTTCCACCAGAACACTGGACCTGAAATAAAACCCTAGAAAATATGAAGAACATAGAAATTGCCACTGAATTTGTGAATGCCCACTTGGCACTGGTTAACACTGGTAACACTATGTCTTGTGAGCAGTTGTTGGGTTATGACTCAGTGTGGAGCATATGTTTTGCAGAACGTCCAACCCCTGGTTCATTAATGAAACTTGAGTGCATGTTAGGAAGAACCTTTCTCTAAGATTCTACAGTGATCCTGCCTCCAAGTAGAAAGCACTAAGCTAGATAGGTCCATGGTCTCACTTGGCACAAGGCAGCTTCCTACATTTATATAGGTGAGACATTGGTTAGTGATACATCCTTCATGGGAGGAACCACAGATAATTGATTGATGACAGGCTCCTGAAAGAAGAGAATCTAAATTCACTCCCTGTAGTTTAGGATAGCACAGCTTGTGAAGTTACTTTACCTTATCATCTTGGTTAATGTTTATGAACCCCAAATATTACCCACAGTTTCCTGGGTAATACTGCATAATATAGATGTTCCTGAGCCCGTGCAACTCCACTATAGTGATATCACAGGCATGACAGAACAGTGAACTTTATCTCTGACTTGCCCCTTCCTGGAAAAATTGTACTCCCCTATCACCTTAACTTAAAAACAAAACAGGACTTTGACAACAACATTCCAAGCATGAGACTTAACATGTATTCAGATGGTAGCATGCCACTTGCTCTTTATTGCTGATAAAGTATCCAGAAGCATAGGAGGCTAGTTGAATGGATTCCTGAGTTTTCAGGAACCTCTTTTTTTGGATTGTTATACCACTGTTTCTGCTGTTTCAGTGGCATGGCTCAAGCTGGCCCCGTGCTCGACATGATGACATGTGGTGTCAACAGCAGGGATAACTGGGACACCAACCCAGTGTGTGTTTTCCTGTACATAAAGACATCGAATGAATCTTTTTCTGTGTAGGCATACATACAAGTATGTGCATATATGTACATACACATGCAAAATAAAGTCTAGCAATATATCTCATGTGAGCTAAAGTGAAGTAATGGATAATTATTACATATATTTAGCATCAATATTTAGCTTACTGAGGTTCTTTAGGTGGAACAGATGCTTAACAGCATATGTCAGTCAGCAGACTTCAGGATTTAGTTCAAAACCCAGCATAATCACTGCGTGCACCTTTGGAATGCATCAGTGCAGAGCAGTTGCTAGCCTTTAGCCATTATTTTCAGGCTTGTTTTGAAAAGGTTTCATTTTAAAAAACTTTAAGAAATCCAGTTTTCACTGAACTGCTACCATTCTCCATTATTTCTGCGTATTGTCTGCAGATTGATAAGGAAGAAAAATGCACAATAGTGATGCAAAACAAAAACAGTTTTGCTATATTTGAATTATCCCAAGGTGCCTCAGGAAGAAAGACTGTTTCTTTAATTTTTTGTCATTTTTGACTTCTTTGTACACAGATTTCTCAGGAATTTAAAAAACAAAAAACAAATTCACTTTAAAGTTAAAAAAATGGCTGCAATCGATGGGTAATGTATTTAATTGACAATATCACATGTGTCTGGCTTATAAGGTCTGTGCTTGATGTGATTACTTCTGTGTACATTTGAAGCATGATATTCTCCTTCAGGGTAAATTTGCACATTTATTTTTAAAACAAAATTTATATCACACCTTGCTGGCCTCATAAAGGCCACCTAGGCAACTAAGACACAGAACAGCTCACAACTATATCTTGTATGGAATGAATGTGGTGGTGGATTGGGAAAATAATACTACCAATAAAATACAAGTTCTATTTAGAAAAGGGGTAACTACCCTACTGCTCACTTTAAAAAAAAATAGAACCAGAATGACAGCCTAACTTGAATCACTTCAAAGGTAATTTTTAGGTCAATTATATATTGCCAATACCTCCTATGAATGAAATCCAGTGAATGAATCATGACAGAATGACTGTCATACTGCAGAATATATATATGGCTAAAACAATTAGTAAAATACTCAGTCTTCTGAAATCAACAGCAAAGCTGCTTTTTATGTGAATTGGATGGGAAGTTTGATCTAGTGTGTTTCTTTTGAACTCAAGAAGTGACCTAATTTTAAACAAATTACTCTCTGAAAAGTGTCTGATGCAACTGTAAACCACCATGTCAGCCTCATAGTGAGTTTTGATTAAACAATTCCAGCAGGATCCCTCTGAAACCATACTTTCTAGCTATATGGAGGAAGAGGGAGTCATTTTGTGGCAATAATCGGACTACGAAGAAAGATACATTAATGAAAGTGGGAATAGTTTGTTTGTTTGAATATCTGAGTTCAAATGTTCCCTTTCAGTATCATCCAGGGTCAGCTGTATTTTAATTTTGAGATGCTGTATTTGCTTCCTATCTAACAAATGTGCATGAGAAGGTGGTCTTATTATACAGTACCAGGAAAAACTGGCTTGCTTCTATGAAGCAGTTCTACTCCGATTTCATTTAGAGGCACATAGAATGACTTACTACAGCCTATAGAAAGGAATCATTCAGTCCACTTCACATTCATTTTCCTAAGCAGCTTTAATATGGAGACAAATCCCACTGAACTCATTTCTGAGTAAACATGTTGAAGATCACACTGTAAGAAAGTGGTAAAACAGCCTGAACATATTGATTTCAAAGACCCTACTTGTGGATCTTTTGCAAAATATGAAAAAGGAGAGGGAATAAAATAGGAAATACTAGTGTAAAATGCAACTGAAAGCGGCATATCATGTAATAAATAAGGCAGGCAAAATGGGTGTTTATAACTATTTGGCACTGCACTGTGATGGAGAAAGGAGTAGAAACATTACTTCCACATGCAATTTGAACTCTCCTCCCCCCATTGTGCCTTGACAGAAATTGTGAGCCAGAAAAGATTAATAAAAAGCAACATGTGGCATGAACTGATAAAACACGAGATGGATATTTGAAGCAAGTTATGCAGAGACAGGACATAACGCAGTCAAAACTTACTTTCAACCCCATGAGGCAATAGAGCACACTGATGACACTCATTGGCAGGACATAAAAGAGGAAAGAGGTCACTTGGATGATACAGTTGTAGATCCACATGGGCTTGACCACAGTACATGTAGCAGAGCCAGGGACCTCTGTGTGGTTTGGGAAATACTGCACCATGATGCCATGGATGCTGGTGTTGGGAAGAGAGAAGACGACGGACAGGATCCATAATGCAATGATGATCCTCAGAGCACGTCGCCTTGTGCTTTTCATCTTAGCCTGGAAGGGGTGAAGAATGGCCACGTATCTTTCCACACTGACAGTGGTGACACTCAGAATGGAGGCAAAGCAAACAGTCTCAAAAAGAGCAGTCTTAAAATAGCACCCTACCAGTCCAAACAAGAAGGGGTAGTTGCTCCACATTTCATAAACTTCCAAAGGCATCCCAATGAGCAGCACCAGCAGGTCTGAAACAGCCAGGCTGAAGAGATAGTAGTTAGTGGGAGTTTTCATGTTCCTGTGCTTGAGAATCACCAAGCATACTAAAAGGTTGCCGGACACTCCAACTATGAAGATCAAAGCATACACCCAAGTCATAGGCAGGAAGAGGTGGCTCCGCTTGGGTCCATAAAAAAAGGCTAAGTAGTCCTCAGTGCTGTTTAAATATCTCCTTAGGGGTTCAGCTTCTTCTTCTATTCGATGAACGTACCAAGTGATGTTAGTTGTCCAATCCATTGTAGGTTTTATGGAGGAAGAATAACTTCCCGAGCTCCAGTTTTACCCTCCACGATTTGCTTGTTCCAGATTGCTTACTTTTAAAAGTAGAAATGTGTCAGAGAGAGAGAGAGAGAGTGTGTGTATGCCTTCAGACCTGAAAGCACAGAGGCACTGAAAAGAATATCTCTGTGTTTGAAAGAGTGAGTGAATGTGTGTGGTGTACATCTGCCTTTGCTGTAATAACTGTTCCCCTGTGCAGAGTCCCTTTGACGGCAAGCCCCTCCTTCCACATAGACTCATTGGCTAGCTGCATGAATGAAATTATATGTTGAATGAGCAAGTCTTGGCTAGTTGTATCAGCTTTCTTGACAGAAGCTTTTACTGAACAAGAAGTAAAAGTGGGGAAAAGAGGGTAGAAGAAACAGAGAATCTGAAAGCTTTAAGATAAATCTTTGCAATCCTTGCCTTTATTAGAAGGTAGAGAGTCCAGGAAGAAGAAAGTGGGCAAAATACTAAAGCTTTATCAAAAGTTATGCTAAAGTGAATTCTTCCAACTAGAAGCTATAAAGGAAATAATACTGTTTGCCATGTACAAGCTTATAGCCCTTATTGGTTTTGGTATTCCGTATTATATAACAAACAGTAACAATAGATTGCCTTTCTAGGTAGACGCAGCCTGCTGTGTTAGTCAGTTTTAATGTCTGCATTTCACATATAGAGCTGGAAATGTGCCACTTTAAAGCACTATATCAGTGCAGATATGGAGAAGCAGTCATCCCATAAAGTATTTTTTGTGACTGGATAGGGGGACGTGGACAGGGAGAAGAAAAGGACAACACAGATACAGGTGCTGGGAAGAATCAGCCACAACGTTATTGTTGTTATTGTTGTTACTGAGTCAGGAGGGAGCAGGCAGCCCAGATGACAGAGGCAAGGAGGGGGCTGCAGCCCTCCCACTGGTGGGGGATGATGTGGGAGACACAGCCAGGCAAGGAGCAGTGGCAAGCTGCTGGCATGATGAGGCAGGGAAGGGACATCTGGCTTGAGCAGAGCCACGGGGAGTGGCCTGAGAGGCTGTGGAAGGCAGCAGGGGTTGGGTGGCCACTGAGGATGGGGGCAAGTGAGGACATGATGTAACGGAGAAGCCAGGAGAAGCTGGGGAACACTGGAGCAGGCCGCCCAAGAAACACTGCCATGGCGATGCCAACGGCCCCATCCTCTCTGAGGCTGGGAAAAAAGAGGACGGCGCAGGCAACAAGGGAGGGGTGGAGCACATGCAGCTGCCGAGCCAATAGCCAAGTCAGGAAAGGGACTGGCAAGCATGGCAGTAAATAGAGGGGAGAGGAAGGGGAATAAAAAGGGGACTTCCAAGGATGGCCAAGAAGGATTGCTGTCCACATGTGTCTAGTCCTGTGGGAGGAACAGGGCTGAGAACCCCAGAGGCACAGGAAGAGGAGGCCAAGGGTGAGAGAACCCCCTCCCTTCGATAGCATGGTTGTCTGAAGCCTGAGGAGACTCAAGAGGGTGGAGGGGGAGAGAGACCCCAAGGACACAAGCCAGCTGACACTCAACTGACTGGTATTAGGGCTGGAAGTGGTGAAGACCACTATTTCTGCCCATCACCATCCTCCTGGGGGGGTGATCAATCTGTCAGGTCCAAGGTTGGCTGTTGTGTACCACCCAGAGCCCTTTAAGCCCCTCCCTTTGGTCATACAGGGAGCCCACCCTGCACAACCTGCACTAAGTTCTCCAGGTAATGCCTAAACACCAGTTGTGATGGTTATACTCTTTTTAACAGTGCAAACAAGCATACACAGTAAATACATTCTTTGCTATGAGGAAGGCAAAAATCCCAGAGCTTATCAACCAATTAGGTAAAGGTAAAGGTTTCCCTTGCTCGAAAGCCAGTCGAATCCGACTCTAGGGATGCGGTGCTCATCTCCGTTTCCAAGCCGAAGAGCCAGCACTGTCCAAAGACATTTCTGTGGTCATGTGGCCGGCATGACTAGACGCCAAGGTGCACGGAATGCTGCTACCGTCCCACCAAAGTGATACCTGTTTAACTACTTGTAATTTCTTGCTTTCGAACTGCTAGGTTGGCAGGAGCTGGGACCAGAGATGGGAGCTTACTCCATCCTGCAGCACCCGGGTCTTGAACTGCTGAACTACCAACCATCCGGTCTGCAGTTCAGTGTCTTAACCACTTGAGCCACTGCAGCCCCATCAACCAATTAGCCCTGGGTAAAATTCCTTCCCAGCTCAGTTAAGCAGAGACTGACTGCAGTCATAGCAAAGTATGAGTAGCCACACAGAAAATAACCCCCACAGGCATGAGGTGTGAGGGTGGGTCTTTGCCGAGAGAGAGAGAGAGAGAGAGAGAGAGAGAGAGAGAGAGAGAGGCTAAATGCCAAGCACCTCTTCAGCCTGCTTCTTTCACTCTGAGGTCCAGACTAGAGAGAAGCCTGTAGCCCGTAGGTCTGTGTGCCCCCCCATCCCATGAGGGGCTAACCTCTCATGCGGACTGCAGGAAGCTGCTGGAGAGCTGACCGGCTGACAGCCAGTGCTGGATCCAATTGCCCCAAATCATCCTTGTGCCCCCCCCAAAAAACAAAATACCCTAGCTCATGGCTGGAGCTATACTTTTAACCAGAAGCCCCTTTTAAGCAAAGCATGGACATGCATATTTTAAAGTGCCAAAAATTATGTAGGAATAATATGACAATATAGAGATTTATGATTACATATGCTGTTTAGTTAAATTCCTGCAATAGACATTCAAAAGACAGCTCAGATGCTAGGCTGGCAGAGACTCAGCTGGATCCTCCGGTCCTGGTGTCAATATTGAGACACTGGCAATGCAAGCCATAGGGGGAATTTTTTGTGTGCCATGAACCCCTCCACTGAGGAACTTAAAGCAGTATGCATGTCTTTATTCACCCCACAACCCTATGAAAGAGGTTCGGTTGAGACAGAGAGAGATCAACTAAAATCAGCCAGTAAGGTTCATGACATAATGGAAATTTGAACCTAGATGTCTCTAATCCCAGTCCAATGCCCTAGCCACCACATGACCTTGGAATTCACATTATGAAGGAATTCTTATTCCCCTAAAAATGGCTCATGTGTATACTGCCATAGCAGACAAACAGGTATAGCCCAATCTTGTCAGTTCTCAGAAGCTAAGCAGGGACAGTACTTGGATGGGAGACCACCAAAGAAGACTCTGCAGAGAAAGGCAATGACAAACCACCTCTGCTTCTCTCTTGCCATAAAATGTCCTTGCTGCGGTCTCCAGGGCTATTTTTGGGCAGGAACGCACAGGAACGGAGTTCCGGCTGGCTCCCAAGTTGGCCACGCCCAGTAGGAACTCATTAGCATAATAGGCCACACCCAACAGCAGAAACACATTAGAATTGGCTACATTAGGGGTGTGTGGCCCAGGGATCATTTCGTAGAAAAAGAGCTAGGGGAACTCATTAGCATAACTCATTAGCATATGCCACACCCCCTGACATCAGGGGGCTGGCGGTGGACCTGCAAGGCCAGCAGGAGTGCGAGGAAGCCCCGCCAAGGCCCTCCCTGGCCCCAGGCTGGGGTGGGGAGAGGCGGGGAGGAAGCAACTTACCCTCCCTCTTCTCCTGCCTCCTCCTGGCTGAATGAGGGCTGGAAGCGGGGCGGACGGAAGCAGGGGGCGGGGCTTCATCATGTGCCCCACCCCCTGCACCTCACCCGGGGGAACTGTGTTCCCCCACGTTCCCCCCCAAAATGACCTCTGGTGTGGCCTAACATGCGAAGGAGTTCCTGCTACAAAAAAAGCCCTGGGTTTTGACCACAAATAAGGTCAACAGAATAAGAAGCGAAAGGTTGACCACACTTCTGGTAACATGGGTGTGTGGCCTAATGTGGTAATGAGCTGTGCTGTCAGGGCTGTGGCCTATTATGCTAATGAGTTCATGCTGGGCTTTTTCTACAAAAAAAGCCCTGGCGGTCTCCATAAGCCAGCTGCGACTTGACAGCATTTTATGCACATGCACACGTAGCAGACAAGGAGAATTATCTTTTACTTTTGGTGTGCTTTGGAGTCACTTTCCAGGTTTCTTTAAAAGAACTGAATCAGTACTGTTTGAAACAGTTAGAGAGAATTATGTCAAGCTTCCTTTTCAAGTTATATATTTTAAAAGATATTATTCCAGTCCATGTTGCTTTGGAAAATATTACAAGCATTCTTACCAAGGTCTTGTATTCATGCAGAGTGCCAGGCTACAGAGACAAATAAATTAAGAGAGGCTGCACTTCTACTTTGGGCTTGGGAAGTGGCTCAGTGATAGACCTCATGCTTCTTACTCAAAAGGTTCAGGCCCCAGTATCTCCAGTTAAGGTTCTCGGGAAACAGGTGTTCTAAAAGACATTTCTCTGTCAGAAACCCTGGAGAACTGCTTTCAGTCAGAGTAGATAAGATTGAGCTAGAGGGACCAATTAAACAGTGGAAGGCAGTATCATATGTCCCTATGATACATGCAGATCCATTATTTTTGCTTCACTGATATTTCTTCAACAATACACCCAGCCCCTCAAAATTACTCACTAGAAGAAAAAGTGTGATGAGTGTACACATTATGAGCAATGATTCCGCTTACATTTTTTCAGGGAAACTGGCCAAATTGAAGTATGAAGGAATATAGGAATTACACAGCATTCTTCATTGTCTTCATTATTAAAAGTCAGTGTTAGAGCATTTAAAATAACTTACTGGCATGGAAAAGAGTAAAAGTCCAGTAGCACCTTTTTTAAAAAAATATGTTTTTAACTTCATTTTATAGTTTAACTGCATTTTAAGTGTTTAAATATTTTTATGTTTTATGTTCACCACCTTGTGAGTCCTGATTGGGTGGAAAGGCAGCATAAAAATGTTTTAAACTTCAACAAATAAACAAACAACACTCTCCTATCTCAGGAATGAAAAAAGAAGCTGTTCCAATATGTAAGTGATAACTACATTCCTGTATGATTACCGGACT